GGGTGAGCCGAGCCTATAAGAACTGTCACTACCAGTACCATATATTCACCTATTACCATGCAGGTCACAACCAGCGCCTCAATTCCACTAACTCGCCACACACACACACACACTACCATGACCAAAAAGTATACTGCGAATTTGAAAGTCTGTTCTTTGTTGCTTCATCCACAAAAAAAGAAGAATTATTTCCTTATTGCCAAAGCATTTATGCTCTGTTACGTAAGTTGGATCTTTGTGTGAGGCAACCTTCGTCAGCGAGATCACATACCAGGAGGATCTTCTTAACTTTATCTTAATGTTACAGTATAGACAATCTCAGCTGACATGTTATGGGGTGTACCGAAGCTGTGTAAAGTACAGTATACCATAAACACTACGGATTAGTATATAAAAGCTTAACGATAAAATAAATAAATACCATTATCCAGAGAAAACTGAAAACTGAACACAAAACCTAGAGAAGATAATGAATAATAGATAATGTAAAATCGCAAATGAATTGAATTAATCAGGGTTGGGGCAATTACATTTTAATGAGTTACAATTACAAATACGATTTATTCTCATTAAATTACAATTGCTGTAACCCCAAAAGGATAAATTATATTATAATTACTCTTCCTAATTTTTACTTATAGTTACAATTGCTATACTTTTTTTTATCTAAAATGGCATACTATATAATTTGACTGAATTAATACCTATCCATCTATCCAAACTGTTATCCTCTTGGCTAGCCGTAAAAATCCGTCTTGTTCACAACTATGATGGGCAAGTCACTGTACGACATTCTTTAGAACCTAACCTAACCTAACAACCTAACCTAACCTATTATACCGACGCTATACCCAGTCCTTGAAGGTACAAAATACTTCAAGAAGATAATCCCATCTACGTGTTTTGTATACAGTACACGTGTATTTTGTTGTTGTTGTTGTTGTTGTTGTATTTAGAAGATGTTCGCTACAGAGGATGTGGATTGGAATAGCAGGATAGTTGGTTGGTGTTATGACAAACCGTGTAATTCGGTTATACGTGGAGGTCAGTGCGCAGTAGGTGAAGGGCAACCGGGGGTGGGGAGGGGTGAGGATTCTTGGAAGACGTGTTGTGTGTTGCTGAGCAGCCAGCCTCTGAATTACTTCATTATTTCCTATTGTGGAATTATCGTACATCACAAGTAACCTGTGTGCACAACAAAATAAAGTATATAAATGAACTTCTCTTTGGATTAGACGTTATGTAGTGTAGAATAACTTAGGGAAGAAATGTATAAAGTCAAAAAGTTTGTAATGGTGAGATGGAGTTATTCCGTGACGAGGTAAACTAACAGTATCGATGAACATTACTCTGCTTAAGTGGGTTTTTAATACCAAGTTAAACTTAACTGTGTCGTGTCACTAGATCCGTGTGGTTAACTTACTCAGTCATGTTTACAACCGGACCCATTAAGAGAACTCACCTGGTCCATGGCGATAGGTAAGATGAGAGGCGTGTCATTGTTGGTGTAAGAGACTGGTGGTCCTCCTACAGCAGCAGCATCGCTACCTGGCTCCTGACGGACACCTGTGTTGGAAGGTCATTTAGAAAAACCATTAGTGTTCCAGGGTGTCGATGCTCCCGACTAAGAAGTAACCTTAATGCTTCCTAGGGGGTTGGGTTACGTTAGGCTAAAAGTACAAGAACATTAGACAAAAAATAAGGGCTTTAGTGGATAACATGACTCTTGTAGGTAACGTGGGCTCTTGTGGGTAACGTGGGCTCATATAGGTAACGTGAGCGCTTGTAGGTAACGTGGACTCTTGTGGGTAACACGGGCTCTTGTGGGTAACGTTGACTCTTGTGGGTAACGTGGACTCTGTGGGTAACGTGGGCTCTTGTGAGAAACGTGGGCTCTTGTGAGCAACGTGAGCTCTTGTGGGACGGGTGGACTCTTGTGGGTAACGTGGGCTCTTGTAGGTAGCATGGACTATTTTTTGCATACCTGCACCCTTTAAAAGTACATTACGTTTATTTGTATACCTGTATATGTACAGTCCCCTTCACTAGTGCCTTTACAGGGGCTCGTCTGGTTCTGTGCAGTGTGGCAGAACTGTGTTTGTTTACATTCGACAGAAGGAAACTCACAATAGTAAACATACTATGGAATCAAATTAAAACAATATTAAAACAAATATCTCAAAGATAATGATTTGTGGAATGTTAATATGACGAGCCCTGTAAACGCACTAGTGATCGGGACTGTACATTGTTTGTATACCTAACTATGTGAGTTACCGCTGTCTCACTCCTTGTTCACAGAAAATACAGTGAGACATTACAAGTATGATGTCAAAAATCCAGTATAGACAAAATGTTGTGTCGCTAAAAAGTCTCCTGAAGCAAAGCCACTAGAAAAACTTCTGAAAAGTAGATTTTATCAGAATACACACTGATATGGGCAAAGTATTCTATGACTCCAGTTCTACTGTATTTGCCAGTGTATGGGTATCAGCTACAACTGTCATCCTTTCCCCTTAAATCTTAAAAAATAAATAAATACGGTTATTAAATAAATAAATATAAAAACTTGCTGATAATAGCATGTTCCTGGAACCTAACGGGAGAATGTAAGTTTTGCCAAATCTTGGCTCGGATTTTAAAAATTTAACATTTCTTTCATTTCCCATCCATTCATTCATTGAGCCAAAATCACTCATTTTAGCTTTCACCTAGCCCAAAACCCAGAATTCCTACGGGTCCCTAAGATTGTAGGGGGGGGGGCTACGTAATAAACGGGTGACTTCCGATGGAAATGGATGTCAAAATCGCAAGAATCATATTAAAATACTTGTATGTGTGTGCGTGTTTGTGTGTGCTTCACTGATATTAAAAATCTAAAATGTTTATTTATTACAGGAGATTGTCACCCAGGATGATTTATGGGACCACCTAGCCCATACATAACTGTTATGGGCTCCCCACAGACTTCCAAAAAAATCTACTTTGTATTGGAGAAGAAGGTTATCCTGGACCTGGTAGAATTTGCGGATGCTCCCATGTCCTGTTCATCACTTACTACATTTTCTGGCTGGACAACCCTAAGCAAAGCAAGTGCACATACAAGTACCTACAGATTGCCTAATTTAAGAGATCACTTAATTTAGATGGTCAAGTGCCAGCAAAATTATTCTTATTCCTGAGAAACCTAGAATGATATGTTCATGTGTGTGTGTGTCTAATATCGCCTTCCCCCTTTGTGTTATGTATTTCTATGAATATCTAACAACATGAATTCTATTTTTTTTTACTCATTTCCACTCCACAGCTTCCGTCTAAAATATCCAAATTTTCACCCCCAGTTTCACTTTCATTTCCCTAACATATCCAAGTATGATAAATTTTGTTTGCTGCAGTCTTGTAAGCATTCATTAAGCTTTTCATATAACAATTTATTTGTTCCACTCCTTGTCTTGTCTCTCTGTGAACTGGTGCGCAGACACCAACAAAAAAAAAGTGTACCTGCCAATTCCCACTCAGATCTCTTTGAATAATCTGTTGTGTAGTCAGTACAAAGTGATGTCTGACCTATATATTATGCAAACATACAATTTCAGGGTGATTTTGGCCAGTGCAGTACAGTATATTGCCATATTTTGTCTAGCTATTCAGTGAAATTATGAGTTTGGACAAATTAATGGTAATATTGTATTAATGTTTGAATATTAAAATTCCACTATTTTCCTTGATTACTTTGAAGGAGAATCATATACAGTATATATCTTAGTGAAACCCCTGTGATTAAACATGGTTTTGATAGTGTACTTACATTTAGGATGTAATCCATGGATCCTTGAAACTAAAGTTGTTTCAAGTTCACACAAGTAACCTATAATAGTATATTCTTTGTAGGTACAGTTTTGGAGCTCTCAATAAAAGTGTATCAAAACACTGGTGTGACGTCTCCATATACCCAGTATTGGTGTTTTGAAAATCCAGTAACATTGTCATGAAACACTCAGTATCAGTGTTTTGAAACTCCAAAGCATAGGTTTGGAAACACTTTATATAGGTGTTTTGAAACACGAGGATTCTCAGCATCAAGGATAAAATAGATGTGGATGTCAAGGAGATGAAGACGACCCAAACGGAGGATTCCAGTTTGAGAAGATGGACTGACGCGCCATGACAAGAATGCCACTGTCAAAGAAAGGAAATGCGTGTACATGTACAATTCTTGGAAAGGGACTCTTGTATTGAGTGATGAACAACACTAACCGCAAGTATACAAACAGTTAGTTTTACCACAGAAGTTGAGAGAAACGGTCATGAAGGTACAGTTGTTCATGAAAGTGCTTTTGGTGGCCATTTGGGACCCAATAATTTATTTGCCTGATTTATCTTCTCGCAATGGCCCGAGAACTTCAGCTCATTGTCAACATACACACCTAGGTCCTTCTCACATTCAGTCTCAAGTAGTGCAGTTTCTTCATCCCGTTGGTACATATGATACGCCTCCTTACCGTTTACTTTTACTTTTACTTTTATCCTCTTCGCCACTGATCGGCTTGTAAGCCGCTTGGGCGATCGGTCACGTCTCTTTTCATTTATATTCTTCACGTTGGTACGCCCCAGGTGCACCCTCTTACACTTCTTGACGAATCTCAGCAGCCACTTCTTTGGCCATTCTTGGAGCTCACAGAGATCCTTCTGCAGCTCTTCACAGTCCGCTTGGTTCTTTATTTCCCGAAATAACTTGGCATCATCAGCAAACATTTGTATGGAGGAGTGTACTGTACAACGTCAGGCATGTCATTTATGAAACAAACAAACAACGGCGGGCCCAATACACTGCCCTGTGGTACCCCGCTTGTGACAGGTACACATGATGATTTCACGCCATTAATCAGATGATGATGAGCTGGATGATGGCTGCGTGTGAGTTGATTTATGTGGTGAGGCAGGAGCGCAGGCTGCAACCACACATCTTGGCTCCCCCTTTTCCTGATCCAGTGGTGCAAGTATTGCAACGACTGGGGAGAGGGATAGTTGCAATGGACTACCGAAAGTACACACACACACACACACACACTACCCCTTTCACAACCTTTACAACATTTTCTTCCTTTACTAATTTAAGACACGTAAGATATCAACATTATAATATGTTACGTTATTCAATAATGTTATGAAATAACAGCGGCATTCTTTCTCACAACACCTTCCCGGTCCGCCCAAGGCTTTAAATCCTTATCGATTTCCGGGATAATATTCCCTTTAGCTCAGGGAGTATTGATCACATACTTCAGATACTTTACATAAAGTATAATAAAAATCCGGATCCTGAGTCAACAGCAGCTCACGAGAACCCTACAAAGGTCTTGTTTACACTCGTTACACATTGTGAAGGCAAAAATAGTGCAGTACCTGTATTATTATAAACTGGTCTAGATCACAAATTATTTCTTTTGCAGTAAATTAATAGTTTGTATCGTGATTTAAAAGTCTGTGATGATTAATTGGTTATGAAATATTGAACGATAAATTTCCTGATAAACACTCGACTCCCTTTGAAGCTTAAAATTTTCTCTTTCCTGAGGCTTTTAATATTCATTTGATACTAACATCCATTTCTGTCGGAATCACTCGTTTCTGAGTTATGCTTAGAATTGCATAAGGTAAGTGGTAGGGCCATTAATATTGTTGTGCGTGACTTGGGTGTTAATACGGAAACGATGGTTATAGAACTTAATTAAAAAAGCAGTGGATATTTTGCCGTGACTGGTAAGTATCTATTTATGCTATTTTACTGTGAGCTCTGATTGGTTAATTAACCATTACCGACGAACAACGCGAGAAATATATGTGACCATGACCGACGGGTATTTGGCACTTATTTCTCCATGAGTTGATCGCTGTGTAGCTGTAAACGTACCTAACCATATTTTTTTGTGCATAGAAACTTATCAATATAAAATAGGAAACATTTACTAGAACCTAATAGAACCTGACCTAAACAACCAAAGAAACCTACCTAACCCTACCTAACTTCCTAGCCATCCCTGCCATATTAAACAAAAGTACATATGTTGATATCTGGTACCAATGAAAGCAATTTTGCTGAAGCATCATAGTATAATTTTACATTTTTTGTGGGAGTGAAAGTATGACTCAGACCGAGCGGGTTGTGAATAAACAGATGACACGCAATGTTTGCGATTCACGTTAATTTCTTACTTCAAATTACTTTTCGGTTAATATCCATTTGCAACGGAAGTGGTAGTAGAAAAAGCTGTTCCTATTGACAAGATATAACTAATGGTAAACACAAAATTGCACTTGCCAAGTTGGGGCTGAAACTGTAATAATACCTGGAAAATACATGATTTAAGGGTAAATTTTTACAAGTTGCCCATAATGGTTTTGGACATGAAACTTACGTTTTTCCAGTGGCTTTTTGTGTGTTTTGAACGATTCTGACCTTCATTTATATTGCAAATGACTCGTTTTTGAGTTTGACATCTTGGGGGACCCATAAGAAATCTGGGTTTTGGGCTGGGCATAGAGCAAAAAAGAGTGATATGCTATATAAATGACCAAAGTTGGCACGGATTTTTCGTTTTTAACAAGTAAGGAAAAGCCAAAATTTTAGAATCCGAGCCAAGTTTTGGAGAAAAATTATTATCAAATTCGAATGCATCACACCAAAACCCATCGGAAACACTTCGGTTTCATCTCAAAATCAGTTTCTCTGCTAACCTAACCTGACCTAACCGCCATTGATGGGGGGTTGGCTCCGACTGCAGGCCCACCCCCCAGCAGAGGTCATATCGAAACAACCAAACTCACTTAACCAAACATCAATACTGGACTTAGAAAATATTCGATGACACCCTAATGTGATTTTGACAATACTTGACGAGAGTGGGCTGGCCTTAGCCTCAACTTGACAAAATTTGGTCAAGATTCATTTGACACCATAATGAAAATTTGATAACTAAAATAGGGTTTTCGGTAATTATTGACGACTGACCTACTGTACAGCCAAATTTTCAAAGAAAACGATTATAAAAACGCCGCAATTGCACTGTGTTTTATAGTGGACGCTGATGTAGTTTGTGCAAATGTGGTAAAAGTGGTTATTTCTAAATTTAACCTAACTTAACCTTATTTGATATGAAAAGCAGTTAGAAGACCTCACCTTCCTAACCAAACAAACCCCCGGTATATTAAACAGAAAGAACTTACTATGATATGGTGCAATTTTACGTTTTTTTGTGGACACTGAACATCGGCATTGATCTGGTCCCCGGCAGCGGATTGTTTTGAAATATGTCATTATGATTGGCTGTTTACATCCTGGGATGAAACATCACCACCTCGTTACCGGTACCCTCAAGAATACATAGTTGTGTGCGCCTAGGCGCCTAATTATCTACCAAACGAAGCATTTTCTCAAGTAATGATTATCGTAGCAGAACTCGCTGATGAAAATATACTGTAGTAACAAAATAAACATAAAATCAAATAATAATGTGTTTGTGGGTCAGTTATCAATATTAACAGGATTTTCTTATGTTTTTCAATGTGATTTAAACACTATGGGTAAAATTTTAGTTTTGGTCATCCTTGTATTTAGATATGCAAACTATGTTTTTCCGACGGTTTTTTATGTGTTTTGAATGATTTTGATCTAATCTCAGTAACCTAACCTAGCCACAGAACCCAGGAACTATATCTAGCCTAACCTAAATTCCTAAGATTCCCTGGATGACCGAAACTAAAATTATACCCAAATACTATATGACCCTTATTTGTGGGATGGGGTGAATGGGTACCTTGTGAAACACCAATACCACTGATGGCCCGCTCACTTTGACACCTCTGTGTTTAGAGCAGGCAGTTGTGCGCCCCACCCAGAATACATCATCGAGCCAGGGTACACACACACACACATGTTGATCTTTAGCTATAAGAACAGGGTAAAGGATTTCAGTACTGTACATTATATGGCTAAGAAGAATTTATCCTGGGAATGAGACAGATGTCAGGACCATGGCTATTTAGGGGAGATTATGTATATTTAGGGGCAGGGCTGGCCTTAGGAGGTGTGGAGCCCAATTGGGAACAATTTTGGTAGGCCCCAGGTTCCCAGCCAAGTTCTGTAGAATCATAGAAATATAAATAAAGTCTATTACGTATAGACTTTATATCTCTATGGTAGAATGGAAAGTAATCAAAATGTGCGCTTAAAAAGTGCATGCGAGTTAATGGACCAAACAGATCTATGCTACATTTTAATACGTAATATAAAATTGCAGACATGTAAACCTACAAGTAACAAACAAAATGTGTAAATCACCTCTGAAAAGTACATAGTTACAATACCACTTGCTTTAGTGACTGTGAAATGATATGGTGTTACATATATATTGCAATGTGTTGTTGTGTGTACTTGACGAGCTGAGAGTAGATTACTCTAGCGCGGGGCCCCCTTAGGCGTGGGGTCCAATTGGCTTAAGGCCGGCCCTGTTTAGGGGTCATAGCATGGTTGTTTCAATCTGAAATGTCTTTATTATTTATTCTACTGTATATAGATACAGTAGAATTTATATATGCATTGTGGCATTTGTCTTTTTTAATACACATCATGTTTTTTTGGCAGAAGTGAAGAATGGCAGAGGGAGATAACGGCACAGTGTTGCCCCGCGACTGGGTGCTAAAGAGCTCACGGCGGTGTCCTGTTGCTAAGTACTATTTCAATACTAAGACTGGTCAAGCAACATGGATACATCCACTTCTTCTGAAGGAAAGCAAAGAAGATTGCTCCAAAGAACCAAAAGAACTTAAGAAATCACCAAAGAAACGAAAGAAAGTTAAAATTAATTTATCTGAATCACAAGGAAGTATAGTTAATGAACTGATAGTAAAAAGTGACGAAGCAGAGGTTACATCCACAAACTCTGTAGCAGTAAGTTCTCACAGTCCTCACAGAAACAATCCAGTGCAAGGAAGCCCAACTGTTACCGAGTCAGATGACGGCAAGGCAATAGACGAGGAGAAATGGAACTCTAGAAAACCTGTGAAATTTGCATTTAAAGCAAAGACTGAACCAAAGAAAGACTCTTTGAGCGGCCAAAAAAAAATTGTGTCAATCCATCCGAGCTTACTGAGAGCAAGAAAAGTTGCAGAAAAGTTACAGTGGTCGAAAAAAGTGAAAGATAAGAAAGTTAAACCGCAGAGTGAAAGGACAGTTCCATCGATAAAATTAGAAGAGAAAGTAGATGTTCCAGATAATAAATTAAAAGAATCAGTGGAGAAGACTAGAAAAGGTAAAATAACTGCAGTAAGCACAAGAAGAATTGTGAAGGCAAAGAGAAGGATAGAATATGACAAAAAAGTGAAGGAAGATGAAGCTTCTATACAGGAGATTATTGAAGAAATAAGTGGCAGTCCCTGTAAAAAGAATGAAGAGTGCAAGGTAAAAAGTAAAGAGGAAAAGGTCCACTACAAACATAATAAGAATAATGAATATGATGTGTATAAGCACTTTGTAAAATCTAAACAAGTTTCTCATCAAACTTTAAAATCTTCACATAAAGATAATTATCCTCCTGAGGAAAGTGAACTTCCTCCGCTTGATAAAGTGGTACATAAACAAGAACCTCATTATGAAGTTGATACTGAAAATGACTCTGATGAAGTTACAGAAATGGAAGTAGAGGAACAAGAGATCATTACTGAGATTGCAAACTTCCGTGGATCTGTCAGTCATTCTCACAAAACAGACAGTAACCAACTGTTAACAACAAATATTAACAGCAACTCAGAGTCTGTCTGTATTGTAGTTGACACAAATATACTTATTCAAGATATTGGGTTCCTTGAAAGTCTCAAATCAAAGGAAATTGCAAAAAAGGAGGTTGTTATTGTGATCCCCTACACAGCATTAAAAGAAATGGATGGACTAAAGAAAAATGCATCTATTGGGAAGGCATCTCAGGCTGCTATATGCTGGTGCAACAGTCACTTTGAAAATAATGACCCAAGAGTACAGGGACAAAGTTATGACAACTACCTCAAGACATTAGCCCACAGTCAACACCCTGTGAGTATATTCTTCATGACCATTATAGTATTAGAATCTCATTTTTATTATGTATGTACAGTATTTCTAGAGGAGCTCTTTAAATGTTTTTAGAATATATTGAGTCAAAGTTTTCTGAATCATATTACAGTAGTTTAGTGCTTCCTAAAAGGTGCTACAGGGACAAAAAAAAAATTCATCACAATCTCCATGAACTGTAATAAAAATACATAAGTAAACAAAATTTATAATATATTTTGTAAATATGGGCTAGCATTTTCTTTGTGAATAGAGTAACTATTCAACTTGTATGTGTATTGTACAGTATTGTTCTGATAAAACATTATGACTTTCAGAGTGGTGATGATCTCATCCGTGACTGCTGCCTGCTATTAAAGAAAGAAAGTCTCGATGTTTGCCTCCTCACAAATGATGTTAATCTCCGCAATAAGGCTTTGATGTCAGCTATTACTGCAGTTAGTATTCGGGGTCTTAGATTGAAACTAAAAGAGAATGCATCCAATCAAATGACCCATTCAGTTACTTTGCAAGATACTAAAAAAAAAATTACAAATCACTCTTTACCTGATGTTGATAATATATATAATTACTGTGGAAATACCAAAGAATATCCACAACTGGATAATATGGTGTGTGAAGTGACTCCCAAATGCCTGTCATCAAGACAGGAAGATAGACCCAGATATGTAAAGAAACTCAGAAAATCAAGTGGTAACTGTGAGAGTAAGGATGAGACATTGCTTCATAAGATCAGCACATCATTACGGGTTACACTGAGTCAAATTTTAGAATGTATCATGAAAGATACATATGGAGATTTGTGGCTTCAAATTGTTAAATGTAAACCTCCATGGAGTATCAGTGATGTGTTTTCATGTTGGGAAAAACATTGGATTGCTATTATGTCTGATAAGTTCCCAAGAGAAGTAAAAATCTTGATGAAACAGATCCAAGCAATATTAGGTGATTGTAAAAGGGGAAGAGGTAATATTGATAACCTTAGTGGACAAGTACAAAATTTGTACTTATTTTTCAAAAGTCAACCATATCAAAGTTTTATTTCTCCTATTCATGGACAAACTGATGAAAATACAGATATGTCAGAAATTCCAATTCAAGGCTCAGTATTACCCTCCAGTGATTCATTAATAGATGTTGACAAAGTTGAAAGCTCATTAAATGAAAGAGAGGACTCCAACAGACAGCAGCCTACCCCCAGTGGTTTAGAAAATCTGGAGAAAATGATCAATCTTGTTGGAGCACACATCACTCACTTCATGTATGTATAATTATAATTCATTCCTTGTTCTGTGTAAATTTAGAACAAATTGCAATGTAGGGTACAGTCCAGTGTACAGGTGCTGTACAGTATATGGATTGTAGAATTGTGTATAATTAATTTTGTATTTGAAATTGGCTTCAGGGTGACTTATGCAAAATCTCCTGCACACACTACAGTTTTCACATAGTCCATGCCTCATTGCACCAGAACAATAACAATGACATTCAAAATATGTTTTAAAATTAGAATTTTTTCCCCAAGATTCGTGTCGCTCAGGTGGTCCAATACTTGGGTTTTTTACTGTACAGTATAAACAGATGCAATAGAAGTGAAATCTATTGACCGGCATTTACAGTGAAAAATTTGCATTTGTTCAGATTAGGTCCTTTTATGTATCCAATCATGGTCTTGTTTATTGATAGACAGCTAGTGTCATATTATGTACCACTGCATTGTTTGTTGAATAAAAGACTCTAAAAATCTAGGATTCCATATAAGAAAGTTCCTAGCCCATTACAGCTGGTGGATAGTTAGATTTGACTAGTTTTCTTTGACTTATTAACCTAATATTTTTCAGAGCCTTGGTGTTAGAAGCCTATGGAGTTGAACACAGTTTACCCACCCTCAACACATCCGGTAAAATGACTAGAGAAGGTGCACGAAGCAGTGGCATAAACTTACACAAAGTCACCATGAAATTGGGAACTACAATCTTCAGGTAATGAGCTTGTGTACAATACAGGAGATGAGTTTACCCTGTACTGTATGCTATATAATTCACTGAATATATCATTTGTTACCATTGTGTAAAAAAAAATTAAAAAGGTATTTCCATCTTCTTTTAGAAAGTAAATGTATTATATATTCAGAAAATATAATTACAGTGCAATGTAATCACCAGAGAATTATATTATGTTATTATTGGCATTTAATCTTTTAATTGTGGAGTCATAATGGAGACTGGTGGTGAAGAGGACTGAGGCTGCCTCTGGTGTTTGAGAGAAGAATGTACTAAAGCCTTGGCAGCTAAGAGTCAGATTTAATGAAGGATGTGCTTAATATTATTATTACCATCATCTCTACATGGAGCTTGAGTAAAGATCCTGAAGAAATCATAAGTTTATAAGATCCCTCTCTTCCACCATTGCAAGAATACCAAACATTATTTTCTCTCTCTTTTCTGCTGATGTAGTAGACTTATGATGTTGACATATTACATAACAGAGTATAGCAGACCACTGAGATCATCACAAGAGTGTACAGTACACATTGTTCGTGAACATTTCATATGGCAGTGTTCTCCATTAACCACTTATAGGTGTTGTCAGCTTCTGCTACCTGATGATTATTTGTTCGCCCAGCCACTCTTTTGTAGATCACACATTTTTCATGCTTATGAATATGACTATTTTCTTTATTTTGAATATGTTGTATGTGAAGTGTATGTTAATGAAACATTACGTCTATGCAGATTTCAAAATTAAATGGCATTACATAAATTGAAAAAAATGTTTCACTTTATTTATTTTTTTATTATTCCAGATGTTTATCTGAAGGAACATCAGAATCACTTCAAGAATTTGGTCATCTACTTATAAATTTCTGGGCAGATGCCAAGCAACAATGCCCAAACTTGCCTTTTACTGAAGAGGATTTAACACAGGTTGTTACAGCTCCAAGTGGTCGGAATTTCCTTCAATTGACATTAGGAGAGTTGGAACGACTGTTAGCCATGCTAGTAGCTGTAAATGAGAACCAGTAATTTTTTTCATTAATATGATGTTTGTGATAATACTTCTAGTCTTCTTGTAAATTATTTGGATATTATACAGTAGCCTCGGGTTATTTCACGAGATAAACATTCACTGAATAAAAGATTGTGATATGAAGATACAGTACCTGTACATGTAATGAATACAAAGTAAAGGGTTAGGGACCTCAGGCCCCAAAACTCACAAAACAATGCATAGTAGGTTCATTAATTTAATAAACAGAAGCAACAAATATACAGACACTCCCCAGGTTACATTACCAACTTCATGGATACTCTCCCATATGTCCTACTTAAATTGAGCTCCAATTAATCCCCAGTCCAAGCCGGGATATTTCCAACCACACTCCACCTGTGAGCTCTATGTTATGTTATGGTTATTTTTTAACCCTTAATTTTGGGTAGATATACAATAAGTAATTTTCTTCATTCTTTTATTTAGTTACAGTATACTGTATGCACACTAAATCTTCCATACAGTGCAAAAAAAAAAATAAAAAAAAATAAATAATCTATATACAGTATATAAAACAAAGAAGTATGTCTGTGTGTTTGTGTGTCTGCACGAGAATCTCGGAAACTACTTTACCGATCTGTAGTGATGATGAATGGTGTTATGTGTAGTGATGATGGATGATGATGTTATATGTAGTGATGATGGATGGTGTTATATGTAGTGATGATGGATGGTGTTATATGTAGTGATGATGGATGGTGTTATATGTAGTAATGATAGATGATATTATATATCGTGATGATGGATGTTGTTATATGTAGTGATGATGGGTGGTGTTATATATAGTGATGATGGATGGTATAATATGTAGTGATGATGGATGGTGTTATATGTAGTGATGATGGATGATGTTATATGTAGTGATGATGGATGGTGTTATATGTAGTGATGATTAGACAAAATAATAACAGTATAATGCAAAAAAAATATACTTTGCTCTACCGTTGTAGTGAAAAACATGGTGGAACTTACATACACAGTTAATGAACTATTGATGGAAGAATAAGTTTTGGGGACTGAACAGTGAGACAATGTGGAGCCTCCCAGAGGGTGGTGTCCTACTTTGGCCTAGCGGCGTTTGTGCAGACATGACATGCCGGTTAAAGTGAGCTTTGCAATGACCATCTACAAAAGCCAGGGACAGTCACTAAAGATGGTTGGCCTAAACCTGGTGTTTCCTTGCTTCTCTCATGGACAGTTCTATGTTGGATGCTCCAGAGTGGGAACTGGCAAAAATCTGTACATACTTGCTCCTAATGGCAAAACCAAAAATGTTGTCTACCCTAATGCACTACAGTGAGACAATGTGGAGCCTCCTGGAGGGTGGCGTCCTACTGTGGCCTAGCAAAAGAGCCGCCCGGAGGAAGATGAGTTTGCTCAAATACTCCTGTATGTTGATGTACCCAAGTTCTACATATGGCAGGCTTCAATGAAAAAGTTCCAGAGAAGAGCTCAAGGATCCGATGTTGAAGGATATCCAGGGATAAAGTCAGGCAATGCTTTGGGACGTGTCTACACTGTTCAGCCCAACAACTTTGAATGCTATTGTTTGAGACTACTTTTGCACCACATCCGTGGCCCAACATCATATGCAGCACTAAAGACAGTGAATGGACAAGTCTGCAGAACCTATCAGGAAGTGTGCAATCTCCTTGGCCTACTGGAAGATGATGGTCACTGGAATGACACATTAGAAGAGGCAGCAGCTACTCAATCGCCAATGAGAATCAGGAACCTGTTTGCCATCATGATTGCTACATGTGGACTTTCCAACCCAAGCCAGCTCTGGAAAAACCAAGAAAGTCTTTCACAGGATCTGCTTCATCAAGCAAGAAGAGAACATCCTGGTCAAGAGATTGAGTTCATGGATGACATGTTCAACAGGGCTCTGATCATGCTGGAAGACAAAGTGATGGAGCTATGCGGAAAAACCTGACTGATTTTGGATTGCCTTCCCCAAACCGAGAAGAACCAGTAGTTGCAAACAGGGAGTTGCTCAGAGAAACAGACTACTCAGTTGAAGTTCTGGTGAATTTTCTTGAAGAAAATGAGCCTCAACTGGTGCCTGATCAAGCAAATGCTTATGAACAGATCTTGCAAGTAATACAAGCGGAGCAGGGAGGTATGATCTTTCTTGATGCACCTGGCGGGACAGGAAAAACATTCCTGATCAACCTTCTGTTGGCCAAAGTACGTCATCAGGGGAAAATTGCTCTTGCTGTGGCATCCTCAGGCATTGCTGCAACACTACTAGAAGGAGGACTTACTGCACACTCAACTTTTAAACTGCCTCTCAACCTCGCTCACAATGAGAATCCAGTGTGCAACATCAAAAAAGGATCGGCAAAGGCAAAACTCTTAGAAAAATGCAGCCTCATAGTCTGGAATGAATGCACTATGTCTCACAAGTTAGCGTTTGAAGCATTGGACAGGACCTTGCAAAAATGACCATCTCATGGGTGGCATTACAATGGTCATTGCTGGAGACTTTCGCCAGACCCTATCTGTCATTCCTCGAAGCACTCCAGCTGATGAACTGAATGCGTGCCTCAAGACAGCTTCCAGGCAGTGAGACCTCATTCAAATATGTTGATACAGTAATTGACCAGGACCAAGCAGTCCAGTACCCTGCAGAATTCCTTAATTCTTTGGAGCCCGCTGGAATGCCTCCTCACCACCTCACTCTCAAGATTGGAACTCCTATAATGCTCTTAAGAAATCTTGAACCACCAATCCTCTGCAATGGCACAAGACTGGTGGTGAAGAACATGATGCCACATGTACTGGAAGCTACAATACTGACAGGAAACGCTAAAGGAGAGGACATTTTTATACCAAGGACACCTCTCATCACCACTGACCTGCCATTTGAGTTCAAGCGACTTCGGTTCCCGGTTAAAGTGAGCTTTGCCATTACCATCTACAAAAGCCAGGGACAGTCCCTAAAGATGGTTGGCTTAAACCTGGTGTTTCCTTGCTTCTCTTATGGACAGTTCTATGTTGGATGCTCCAGAGTGGGAACTGGCAAAAATCTGTACATAGTTGCTCCTAATGGCAAAACCAAAAATGTGGTCTACCTTAATGCACTACAGTGAGACAATGTGGAGCCTCCCAGAAGGTGGCGTCCTACCGTGGCTAGCGGCGATTCCGCTAGTAATAATAATAAAAATACCTGTACTGATAATTAATCAATAGGTATAAAGTATTTTTAACTAGTAATTTTGGGTAGATATACATAATTTTCTTCTTTTTTGGTACATACCGTACATACTTACAATCCTGCACACGGAAAGTTCAAAAATAAATAATTATAAGTTTTATGTATCTAGGGGGCTTCCAACAGTGAAGCTGTGGAAAAAAAATATTTTCATGGGTTTCTTGCACCTTCCTTTACCATTTTGTCAATTTTCTCTTCACTCTTTCTGCCACATGTGTCATCTGATGCAGCCTTATTAGTGAGAGTCACTCAGCATAGCTTGGCACATTTAAAGAAGCTGTGTAGCCAGCTTTGGCTTGCTGTCACTAGCTGTCTTGCCATCTCTTGAGCAACCAAGCTTGAATTTATTGGTCATTGCAGGTTTAAGTCTTTTCATGCCCACAATCCAAATCTTCAAAGCATCCTCCATTTCTTAGTACTGTACAGTAATGACCTTAAATGATGGATGGCCTTGGATATGTATGGCTGTGTGTATGCTGCGCGAAGTTTGTCAGCCTTCTGTCTGATGCTATGAATTGTGGTTTTATTTGCCCCATTTTACATACCACAATTGATGCACTTTGTGACCAGGTTCATCCAAAATTTTAACTTTCTTTTCAAAATTAAACATCTTTCTCTTCTTTTTTCCCACTGGAACCGGAAGGAGAAGCCGTTGCTGTGCATTTAGACATCTTGTTAGTGGTGCATGTGGTAAACTTGAGGGGAATTACGGGAGTACGAGGAAGAGTCCTTGACTTTCAGTGAGCCCTGGCTTTGTAATGCTGTGATAAGTGATTATACCTGGGGGAAGTGTGTGGTAGTTGTATCAGTGCAGCAGTCAATTTAAAATGCTTCCAACCTGGCTTTTTTCATGAAGTAAATTGGCAATAAATAGGAAAATGGTAGTGACTTAATTACAGTAGCCTCAAAATAAAATAAAAAAGTCACACTGAAATGCTGTGAAATAACCCAAGGCTTCTATATGTCTAATGAAAAATGAAGTTGATCATTCATAAGGCTTTAATACCGAATTCTTTTAAAGAGTTTCATATGTAATATCTGGTGCTTCCATAACAAAATAATGATAGTACAGTACATGTAACATATTTGCATGAGACAGTACATTATGTGAAACATTTCTTAAGTACAATATAATATATATTACATGGTGCTCGCAAATGATAAGCATTAATGACAAATTTATTGATTAAGGTTACTACAAAGATGAAGATGTAACAATACTCAGTGGGGGTTTTTCTTTGCTGTTTGATGAATACTTTTGTTTTTAATCTTTTCCCACACAATGCAGGGAGGCCAGAAGCAAAATCATTCACATGTTTACTCTCTATTTGTTTTCACTCAATCATTCTTACTGATTTTCCTTCCTTTTGCATCCAGAGTCCATGCTTTATACCCATATATGTATTAATGTTAGCTCAACATGGTAATCTTTCTCCAGTCATTGCTGAATCTATTACTTTCTTTTCTTATGCTGGTCTTAGTTCAGTGTTTATCATACCATTTACTGATCTGTCAACTCTCAGGTATCTAACCACTCCATTGCCTCCATTTTGTCTCTACTTAAATTTATTACTTGTCCTTTAATTTTGTTGAAATTTACTTGCAACTTCCAAACCCATTCATGAACATCTTGTAACCTTCCTTTTTATTGAGCACTAGAGCAGTATCACCAGTACAAAGCAATTGGAAGTACTGTAGATCTCTCTCCTCATTAGGCTGAAGTACAGTACAGATTATTAGGAAACTTCAACTGTTTCATGGAAATATGTGAAACTTTCTCAGCAGATAGTTCTTTAAGTTTGTCTCCATTTTTATTTTTATTATTTTAATAAAAGAATTATCAAATTCAACATCTCTATCCCTCCTTGCTGCTAAGGTTCATACCTTCCCAGGAGTGGAGTTATTTAAGGCTCAGGGTTTGGATAATTGCCTTCTCTACAGTTACTCAAGTAATTCCTAGCACTATCATTCAGGATTGATAATTTGGTTTCAGTTTTCTTAACTTTTTCTACCAGTGTAGTGCCTCCAAACTTCCTAATTTCATCAAACAGCGTGTACTGTATAATGCCAGGTCATGTATATATACAGTACGTACAGGTAGAATGCTCAGCAATGATCCCTTGCATTTTTTTTTTAAGTCTTCATATACAGTACGGTATTTATAAGATTTTTATTTTTCCATCATCACTTAATTTTATGTAAAATTTTGTTTAGGGAAATTCATTTTTATATTTTACTGATTTG